AGTAAAACCAAATTTGTGGCAATAACTAAGACCAAACTGAACATGGTGTGTGTTTATGGTGCATGTCGGCAATGTTGTCTCAGCGGGGGCGGGGCGTGGTGGAGGTGGGGCTTACGTAGACGATATTATCGGATACCGCGATATTTTTAAAAGTGATTATCGGTACGATATTTTTGATATATCGCCCAGCCCTACTGCTTAGTATTTTTGTGGAAACCATGATCCTTTTTTAAGGATTCTAGGCAGAATAGAAAATTCAAAATAAAAATGTATGTGAAATTTATTGTAACGTTATAAATGTCTTTTCTGTCAATCCTTATTGTAAAAAAGTTCACAGATCAAAAAAATATTTATTGTATACAAACCCGATTCCAAAAAAGTTGGGACACTGTACAAATTGTGTGACCTAATAAGTTGCAAATTGGTCCTCCAGCTGTTCCTTATATGTACATTTAACTTTTCCGGCCTCTTATTGCTACCTGTGCCAACTTTTTTGGAATGTGTAGCTCTCATGAAATCCAAAATGAGCCAATATTTGGCATGACAATTCAAAATGTCTCACTTTCAACATTTGATATGTTATCTATATTCTATTGTGAATAAAATATAAGTTTATGAGATTTGTAAATTATTCCATTCCTTTTTTTTACTCACAATTTGTACAGTGTCCCAACTATTTTGGAATTGGGTTTGTAGATAAAGTGGGTATGGGATGGAAATAGTACACATTGTAGGCTGGATTCAAACTTGTATCTCCTGTGTGATCAGCGTATCTCCAGCATGCTAACAGCTATGCCACAGCTCCGACCCTAGGTAAATCCACCGGAGCTATAACTAGTCTATTTCCATATGTCTCTGTGTGTGTCCTGAAAAGTTCACCTCTCGGTATGCTACACTCCTTCATTACCATGGTAACAACATGTCATCCCTCTGTAGTCTTTATCTTTAATTATTTTTAGACAAATGTGAGCCTTTTTTCCCTCTATAATTCTAATATTTGCTGGCAGCCTGCGAGTCCCCAGGCAGGTCCAGTGCGATTACTGCGCTCGCCGCCATTTGCATAAGAAAAGTGAGGCAGCGTTTGCGCTAGCAACCCTGGAGGAGGATTAGCAACATTAGCAGTCTGCAGGACGGTGTGTGCGCTGGAGACTTCAGCTGCTACAGGTTGCTACCGTGTGACCTTTACAACTTTCTGTGCAGGTTTTCAATGTTGAAATATTTTCAGTCTAACACATTAGAGTAAGGTATAAATGCAATATGGCTGTACATATCCAGATAGGAAACGTGTGTTGTAAAAGGGAAAAGGGAGTTGTTTTTAAGGGAAATCTGCGAATGTCTTACTTTCAGTTTTAGTTTAGAATGTTCTTACTTTTAGTCTGCAGGTTAAGAAGGGAAAGATGAAACACGCAAAATCACCTTGGCATAGTTCACCCAATAATAACATGTTTGTCATCAATTACTTACTGTCATATCCTTCCAAACCTATAAGACAAACCTAAGAAGAAGTCTGTTCCAAAAAAAGGCTGTGACACACCAAACCGGCATCAAAGAACTGGTGGCGCCGAAAGCTCTCTGTGTTGTCGCCTCACCTTGCCTGCGTCTCGGCCAAAAAGTGCGTTCTGTGCCTGTGTGAGAGGAAATAACTCCACACTAGCAGGTGGCAGTAGTCGATATTCATCGTTCAAAAATGGAAAGCAAATCTAGGTCTGTGGATATACAAAGTGTAAACAAGACAGCACTTACTATTTGGAAAATCAAGCTTGTTGATCAGTTGGTATTCACTTTACTTTCTCGTTATGAGAATATTTAGAATAGTTAGAATGCTCAGGTAAGATGAAGATGTAAAATTGACATTGGCCAATGGTGTGTCATGGCCTTAAAACTTTTTGATGCTTCAAAAAAGTTCATAAAGGTGTAGTAAAATCGAAACAATATGAACTGAGCACTTTAATCCAAGTCTGCTGAAGAAACACAATTGTTTTTGACAAACAGATTTAAAGGCGTATTTCACCCTCAGGCCATCCAAGATATAGATGAGTTTGTTTCTTCATCTGAACCGATTTGGAGAAATTTAGCATTGCATGGATCCTTCTCAGTGAATGGGTGCTGTCAGAATAACAGCTAATAAAAACATGACAATAAACAAATCCAGTGTCCATAATTCATAAAATTGCTTCCTCCATCTCCTGTTGTCCTCTCACATCAATATCAACCAACTTATTAGTTTAGAACTGTTTTTGGCTTGTGAACGGAACTTGATCTGTGCATATTTTGCTCCTGATTTTATTTTTTTTAACTGGAGAAAGCGATATTAGAGGACTCCATCAAGCTTAATTGTCTTGATGGATTTGTTTCTTACAAACATGCAGTTTTTCACTTCACAATGCTTTAACTGATGAACTGGAGTCGTGTGGATTGCGATGTTTTTATCAGCTGCTTGTACTCTCATTCTGATGGCACCCATTCACTGCAGAGGATCCATTAGTCAGCAAGTGATGTAATGCTTAATTTCTCCAAGTCTGTTCTGATGAAAACACAATCGACATCTTGAATGACCCGAGGATGAGTACATTTTCTGCAAATGTTCATTTTACAACTATTCCTTTAATTCTTGCACATCAAGTAAGCATGTTTGTGCTTCCAATTACCATATTTGATGTGCATTGAACAATTGTTTATACGTGAAAATAAGCCTAAATGAAATCTGTGACAGTGATTGTGTCTCTTCAGGAGACTTGGGATAAGTCACTTAATTCATATGGATTATATTTACATTGTTTTTATGAACTTTTTGAACATTTTGTACCTTCAGTGGAGGGACAGATATCTCCCAAATTTCATTAAAAAGATCTTCTTTTGTGTTATGAATATGAATGAAGGTGTTATTAGTTTGGAATGACTTAAGGGGAGAAATCTGTCTTTTGTGGCTGTAAAGATGTTACTTAATGGTCTCAAATGAACCCCGACAGCTGGCATATTTCCTCTATCTATTCACACAAAAGCAAATCGGCAGGGAGCAGATCGTCTGTGATGTGAAATTTCTCCTCTCCGATTTGATAAGCTTGTTTTGTACTACATGCACTCAGCCGCTATCAGCCTTTACATCTACATTTATCTTTAGAGATCACTCCATTTCACTTTTTGTGATTTAAAGTTCCACTCCACTTAGGTGTACGAAGACGTCCAAGGATGTTTGTGTGTGTGTGTGTGTGTGTGTGAGTGCCATCACATGCAGATTTAAGTAGTCATTAGTCTCCTAAGGGATAATTGGTGTGTTGCAGGAATCTTTGGTCCAAAGCAAAACGTTTCCCCACAAAAGGGACCACATCATTACACCACGCTTGTTAGAGGAGAGGATTGGACTGCCACTTCGGGGTCGGGGCCCCTGCCTAAGCTCACGCACATTCATCTTCACTCATTTGCCGTCCATAATTATCCTGTGTGGATTTAACAGCGAGTTGTTTCTGCGGAGGGGGAATACGAGGGACCTCTTTGGCTCTGTTCCCCATTAAGGTGCTTCTCCTCTCCTCCTGGAGATTAGGCGGCTCAAGTGAAAGGCCTCTCCTCTCAGAGCGTGACCCTGAGGTGGCTGTTGGGTGCTTATCAGCATCGTAAGTGGTGGGCCTCCCCGTAAGAGCAGCGCTCATTAGCGTTTGTGTACGCCTGAGTACAGGACATGGGGCGTAATGTATGATAATATATTCGCTTGTCGTTTCCTGTTGCATTTCGATGAGGAACGCCCAGCTGAAATGACCAGCGTATGTTGTGTTTTGGATGCTGGCGCAGGGTTGCCAGGTCTGCAAACAAAACCAGCCCAATTGCGATTCAAGACTAGCCCAATCACAATTTTTCCATGGTTTTCCCCTCCATCGAAATTAGATGACCAATACTTGCTTGGTCAACTAGCGAGAATAGAAAGGTCAGGTCAACCAGTTTCACCAGCTATGTTTTGCTGTGGTACTCTGGGTCAGCAAAAAGGAACAATTTCAATCGAATGATTATAAAATGTCATGTGGTTTAACTAACAAATAAAATGTTATAACATATTTACACCTTGAATACATGTGAGTCTGTGTGTGTGTGTGTGTGTGTGTGTGTGTGTGTGGGTGTATATATATATATATATATAAAGATTATGCCAAACTACCTAATATGGTTTTATTTTGGGAATGTTAATGGCTTAAGAGGCTTTATTCTTCATTATGATATAAGGACAGTTACATAACCCTGACATTTTTGACTTCATGCCCACACCAGTTAATAAATGAAAATGGATTTTAAATTCAGAAATTATAAATGTCAAAATGGTGTATTTATGTCATTGTCAATTGCCTTTTTGATGTATTTTTGAAAAAAAAAGATGAGTGTCATGTCATTGACCTGAATAACAAAGCTGTATTCATTGGATTTCACCAGTTAGACAAAACCAAGACTAATTTACGATTTAACATTGAGCAGGATGAGATTTCACACTGGTTTCACACCAAAAGTAAATATTCCTTGCAAATATAATTCTATATGCGAACATTGAATTCCTAGAGATCTATTTAAACCGGGAATAGAAATTAATCTAGTTTTTCTGGGTTTTACATCATCAGGGGAATAACCTTATAAACCATGTGATTAGAGATTGTTTATGAGAGCTTATGACAAGCATTCTGTTTCATTTTGATTTAATGTTGATTTTAAATAGATATGTTGCATTGGGATTTTCTTTGAACTCCAAAGTGAACACCAAAGTGATTTGAATGCTGTTCCAAACCTGCATGACTTTGTTTCTTACTCATCTCTTTGTCCATGCAATTAAAGTCAGTGATGTCCAATGTTATCTGAACCCCAAAATTCTTCAGAATATTTTCTTTTATGTTCCATGGAAGAAAGAAAGTCTTTTAGGTATGGAATAAGTTCAGGGTGAATTATCTGCTTTTGATAGCTGTTTCATCCCATGTTAACGCTATGCTTCTGACTGTATTACTTTTTGTTTCTTTCTCTGTCTCCAGCCGGCTGTCCTGATTCACTCATTAAAGAGGTTCATCATTTCCGAGTCCTGGGAGAGGAGCAGGTAGGTTTGGACTCTGAGATCCGCAGGTCTCACTTACACACATGTACACACAGCTTCTAAGCAACCTTCCCTGTCCTGATCACGGCTCATGAGAAATCCAAGTTCATCCTGATTGTCAGATCGTCACATGTGAGAGGCTCTTAATTGGCCCATCTGCTGTTCCCCCGTGCCATTCACTAAACCCTCCGCTCGCAACAAAACCTCAGCTCTGTACCATCACACCAGCCATCCTTGCAGTGAGGAACGGGTTCCTTTCGATGTGTTTATACATCCTTCCTACCATCTTCACCAAGTTTTTGTCTTTGAACTTTTCACACCAATTGGAGCTGTTATGCGACACCTTTGCAAAGCACCATTAGGGATGTTTCTGTCGTTATGCTTCCGACCATGTTGTTATGTCAAGTGGCCTCTCCTGACATCTGTGTGCATGTTGTTCGTTTCACTCTCTCCTGTCCTGTTGGGACAGTGGGCCTGTGGGCCAGATGGATAAAACCAAATTTACGCTGGATGCACACTGGGTTATACTTTGACACATATGTTTTTGTGTGTGTGTGTGTGTGTGTGAAATCTTTAGTAATTTTAATAAAGTAAACTTAAAAATTCCTTTTATAGTGTTAGTAATATTTCAAGATGAACACTTAGGGGACTGGAGTTACATTACTTGATTATTCATACATATTTTTATTTTTAGAAAAATCAGGCTTTTGAAGAACGTTTATTTGTTCATCTCTTATCTCTCATTCAATCATCATTGCATTGCATTGCATTAAATGTTTGCCCCACAATAAAACTACAGAGATTTGATTATAAAAGCATTTAAAGGGGTCATATGATGTTGCTAAAAAGAACATTATTTTGTGTATTTGGTGTAATGAAATGTGTTTATGCGATTTTTCACAACGAAGCACACAGCGTCTTCACGACATGGCTGCAGCGTCAACAATACTACAGCGAGACTAAAAGTTACGCCTTCTTTTTTTGCGTGAACATTTGGGTGGCGTTATGCAAATCTTCCCACATAGTGATGTAGACATGTGGGGGCGTGTTAGAACGAGCCGTTTTAGGTAGGCGTGGCTGACTCTTAACTTTTATAAAGAATATCTCTTTGGATTTGAGACTTTAGTCTTTGCAACTTTACAGATCTTCTTTATGCACCAAGAGCTTGTAACACTCCAAAGAGAAAGGAAAAATTGAAATCGCATCATATGACCCCTTTAAATATCATTTTACAAAGACATATTATTGGGAGATATAGAGTGACAGCTAATATTTACTGTATATGCAGTTTATGTAAGTAGTCTGTTATACAGTTACAAAGATTTCATTGGTTTACATTTCAAGCAGAATTTCATCTTACTTTTTGGCTTTGTAAATATCAGCAACCACACCAAATTGCATACATTGTGCCTCTTAATAAAACTGAGGTGTTTTTCAACATATGAACTAATAAATGAGTCATAACAGACTGATCTATCAAATTTAAAACACACAGGTAAACTATTTTTTTCTCAAAGCTGTTACATTTCAGTCTGAACATTCTCTAAACTGTAAGTACAATTTATACAGTACATTTATTTTTGTAGAAATGTGTTACAGGCAAACTGAAAATTCACCATTACTTATTCATTTTTACACACTATTGTCTTCCTCTAACACCACCACCACACATTCTTACGTATCTTACTATTACTCTTTCACATATTTATGCTTCCAAACTTCATTGATTGGCAAAATTGTGATTCCTATTTTAGTTCAATGGTCAAGTAGGGTTGCAAAGGGGTGGAACATTTCTGGAAACTTTCCAAAAGTAATACACTGCATTTAGTTGTTGTGCAAATTGTAGACAATTGTTCTAAATCATTTGCACACATGCCAAAACACATGCAAGCTGCCTAAAAAAAAGAAAGAAATTCAAATCTTATTTGAACAAGAAACTAATTGTATAGACATCTAAAAAAAAAGAGAGAAAGGAAACCACTAGTTCGAGAATTGAGCCAAAGCAATTGAGAAAATCAATATCTCAGCGATACCGTAGCTGATTGTTCAGAATGATATCTGCTGATACCGATAGATGGTTTTCTTAAGGAAACAAAACATCTCTCCAAACTAATGCTGTAAACTGTTCAGGGAACCCTCTCATTTGCTACATCAGAGGTTATAAAGAAAATCAACACGATTACAATCAATGTTTTTTCTTTTCAGATATAATAATCACACTCAAAGACATTTGTATACAATTCAACTGCTCATAAGGTAGTTTTCATAAAAACATGTCTTCGTGACAGATTTATTAACATACGTGTATATAATTAACAGTAATTAAGCTCCCTGCAGTGTTTTTATAGCTAACTAATTAACTGTGAACAGTGGATAACTTTCCTGAGGTAAATTCAACGTTAAGTGACATTGTTCACGATTTGACGTCTTCCTTTAGTTAAAAGATTACATGAGACATGATACATTTCAGTAAGCTGTACTGTATCTGTCAACATACCTTATGAAACTGCGTTAACGGTGGTGAGTTTATGCGTTATTATTGTTTTAACCTGGACAGCCCTAAATTCATTGGCCGATGCATTGGTGCATCCCTACTGACTCTATTTAAAAGTCTATCATTATCCAGTGTTTGAACTTGGGTTTGACTTTTTGTGAGTCTTTAACACACTTAAAGGGATAGTTAGACCGAAAATAAAAATTGTTATTATTTGCTCACCCTCCAAAATGGCATGACATTCTTTCTTCTGTGGATCGTAAAAGAAGATATTTTGAGAAATGTCTCAGTATTTATTAATTTTTTTATCCATGCAGTGGAAGTTGTTTAGTTTCCAACATTCTTCAAAATATATTTCTGTATTTCCACAGTAAAAAGAAAGTCATACAGCTTTGGAGCGACATGAAGGTGAGCAATTGTTGGGTCAGCTATCCTGTTTTAACATTACCAGGCTGTTTTTAGACTCAGTCCATCTCTGTTTTCCAGTATGAGCGCTACCAGCGCTACGCAGCGGAGGAGTGTGTTCTTCAGATGGGAGGAGTTCTGTGTCCCGCTCCAGGATGTGGTGCCGGGCTGCTTCCTGTGGATGATGGCAGGAGAGTCTGCTGTGAGTTGGGGAATGGACTCGGCTGTGGGGTAAGACCTTCTCCGCTCACCTCACAACAGCTTTCACTATAATATGCAGAGACTGCTATCAGTAAGCCATAACAGCATCAACACTGTTGCTCTGTGACACTATTAAAACACTGAAACTGAAAACTCTGTTTGTTTGTTTGTTTGTGTATCCCCACCAGCCCCAAAAGTCATTATTTCTGCTATTATTCTATTCTGTGACACTAGTGGTGCAGAAATTACACACTTCAGCTTTAATATGTGTTGGTTTGTTTAGTTTTGTATGGAAAGTTTGGTAACAGTCTGCATTTTTACAAACCTTTGACCGGCTGTGAGTTGGGGAATGGACTCGGCTGTGGGGTAAGACCTTCTCCACTCACCTCACAACAGCTTTCACTATAATATGCAGAGACTGCTATCAGTAAGCCATAACAGCATCAACACTGTTGCTCTGTGACACTATTAAAACACTGAAACTGAAAACTCTGTTTGTTTGTTTGTTTGTTTGTGTATCCCCACCAGCCCCAAAAGTCATTATTTCTGCTATTATTCTATTCTGTGACACTAGTGGTGCAGAAATTACACACTTCAGCTTTAATATGTGTTGGTTTGTTTAGTTTTGTATGGAAAGTTTGGTAACAGTCTGCATTTTTACAAAGCTTTGACCAAGTATATCCCAGTTTGGGATGGCATTCATGTGTGAGAGGACTGTTTTTTTTTTCTTCCCTGCCCTCTATCGCTTGCATACTCCACTTGTCCAATCACGGCACGATTAAGATATAATTACCACACAATTTGCATGATGTTTTCTAATTAGCCAGTCGATTAAAGATTAGGGTGCAGTTCAGCTGCCATTAGCGCTGACTGATTGCATGTTTGCAAACACAAACATCATCATTCCAGTGGGACGCAACCCCATATCTGTGCTTCTGTCTGTCTCTGTCAAAGGTGCAGCCTGCATCACAGAGTGCTGCCTTGAAAGCCTTTTGTTGTCATGGACAGTGGTTTTGTGCTGTAGATGGGTATTACATCTAGATGTATTTGATTAATTACATTGGTTTTTGTATGTTTCACACAAAGCAGGGTTTTGGGACACAGGGAAGCAATTTTAGAAACTGGATTTCAAACAAAACAAAAGCACCTTCACACTCATACGAACTGCATTTTGTAGACTTTTAAGACTTTCAAAATAAAATAGAAACATTAACAAAACTACACTTAATGTGCAAATACCTATGAATGAAAATGAGAATTGACGTAACCACATTGGTATAGTTTTAGCGTTAGATCGGTATAGTTTTAAGCAGTAACATAATATAGGGACCATAGTATATTAGTATAGGGACCAATTCTCACTATTAACTAGGTGCTTATTAGCATGCCTTTTATTAACACATTGGCTGTTTATTAGTACTAATAAAACACATATTCTGCATGACGATATTCTACATCCCTAATCCTACCTAATACCTAAATTTAACAACTACCTTACTAACTATTAATAAGCAGCAAACTAGGAGCTTATTGAGGCAAAAGTTGTAGTTGATGGTTTGTTAATAGCGAGAATTGGACCTTAAAATAAAGTGTGACCAATTGAGCTGTAGATGGGCATTAGACAAAGGTGTATTTTCCTGAGCATTAATTCAGTTAATTATGTTGATATTGTATAAGTATTGATTTAAAGAAATAAAAATGAAAAACAGTTTTGGTAACAGGATTGCAAAACATACTGTAGTGGGCAAACTGTATTTTGTTGTTGTTGCTGCTGTTTTTTTTTCTAACATGGTTTTGCAAAATATTTTTTTAAGAGTTTATTTAAAAAAAAAAAAATAATAATAAAAAAAAAAAATATATATATATATATAATAATTATTATTATATATATATATATATATATATATACAGGGGGGGAAAAAAGTATTTAGTCAGCCACCAATTGTGCAAGTTCTCCCACTTAAAAAGATGAGAGAGGCCTGTAATTTTCATCATAGGTATACCTCAACTATGAGAGACAAAATCAGAACAAAAAAATCCAGAAAATCACATTGTAGGATTTTTAAAGAATTTATTTGCAAATTATGGTGGAAAATAAGTATTTGGTCAATAACAAAATTTCATCTCAATACTTTGTTATATACCCTTTGTTGGCAATGACAGAGGTCAAACGTTTTCTGTAAGTCTTCACAAGGTTTTCACACACTGTTGCTGGTATTTTGGCCCATTCCTCCATGCAGATCTACTCTAGAGCAGTAATGTTTTGGGGCTGTCACTGGGCAACACGGATTTTCAACTCCCGCCAAAGATTTTCTATGGGGTTGAGATCGGGAGACGGGCTAGGCCACTCCAGGACCTTGAAATGCTTCTTACGAAGCCACTCCTTCGTTGCCCGGGCGGTGTGTTTGGGATCATTGTCATGCTGAAAGACCCAGCCACGTTTCATCTTCAATGCCCTTGCTGATGGAAGGAGGTTTTCACTCAAAATCTCACGATACATGCCCCCATTCATTCTTTCGTTTACACGGATCAGTCGTCCTGGTCCCTTTGCAGAAAAACAGCCCCAAAGCATGATATTTCCACCCCCATGCTTCACAGTAGGTATGGTGTTCTTTGGATGCAACTCAGCATTCTTTCTCCTCCAAACACGACAAGTTGAGTTTTTACCAAAAAGTTATATTTTGGTTTCATCTGACCATATGACATTCTCCCAATCCTCTTCTGGATCATCCAAATGCTCTCCAGCAAACTTCAGACGGGCCTGGACATGTACTGGCTTAAGCAGGGGGACACATCTGGCACTGCAGGATTTGAGTCCCTGGCAGCGCAGTGTGTTACTGATGGTAGCCTTTGTTACTTTGGTCCCAGCTCTCTGCAGGTCATTCACTAGGTCCCCCCGTGTGGTTCTGGGATTTTTGCTCACAGTTCTTGTGATCATTTTGACCCCACAGGGTGAGATCTTGCGTGGAGCCCCAGATCAAGGGAGATTATCAGTGGTCTTGTATGTCTTCCATTTTCTAATAAGTGCTCCCACAGTTGATTTCTTCACACCAAGCTGCTTACCTATTGCAGATTCAGTCTTCCCAGCCTAGTGCAGGTCTACAATTTTGTTTCTGGTGTCCTTTGACAGCTCTTTGGTCTTGGCCATGGTGGAGTTTGGAGTGTGACTGTTTGAGGTTGTGGACAGATGACTTTTATACTGATAACGAGTTCAAACAGATGCCATTAATACAGGTAACCAGTGGAGGACAGAGGAGCCTCTTAAAGAAGAAGTTACAGGTCTGTGAGAGCCAGAAATCTTGCTTGTTTGTAGGTGACCAAATACTTATTTTACCGAGGAATTTACCAATAAATTCTTTAAAAATCCTACAATGTGATTTTCTGGATTTTTTCCCCTCATTTTGTCTCTCATAGTTGAGGTATACCTATGATGAAAATTACAGGCCTCTCGCATCTTTTTAAGTGGGAGAACTTG